CCCAACCTGACGATTATATAAACGCTGCAATTAACTGACCATTTTTATTCCCTATGTCATGTACCGGCCTGATGGGTAATGACCGAAAACAATTGTTTGCCAATACGACTTTTCAACCTTTAAAGACAAGGAAGACTAGAATGGCCATTTCTGTCAATGTCTCCTGATCTAAACTAGTTTTTTTTCGGCAATAATATCTGCCTAGGCTAATAGCTGATGTGCGGTTGCTGAGGAAGGGCTCGGAATGAGAACTAAGGCAGAGCTGGACGAGTGAGTTCCGTAAGTGATCAGTGAACATTAGCCAGCGAGCGTTAATATCTCCTGGTCTAAATCGGCATGACAACGAGCCCGTGGCTCAAAGGTTAGGATATTTGACTCTGATCAAAATGTCGCGAACTGGAGCTTCGAGTGTGGCACAACTTGGAGTGAGCTATGACTGGCTGATGATGGCTAATAAGCCAGAAGCGGCCACATCTCAGTATTCCTTTTTTTGCATGCAATGCTGTCTATCCAGAACTATTCGTTCTTGTAACCACTGCTTCAACAGCTGTTAAAAAAACATGAGCTATTATTATGCTAGGCGCTGGAACGTAAATATATATTTCAAATGCGTTTGAAACCTCAACCCAATTCAACTTCACTGTCAGGAGCGCGACACGGCGAAACTGCTTTAATTTTATGTGAGCTCACCCAACCACCATGGAGTACCAACAGACAACATTCTGCGCGGTTGCCTGCAAATCGGCTTCTCACGACAAGTGTTCGTTTCTTGCCTCTGTTACCACAATCATGCGAAAGCTTGAAAGCTTAGAAAACATTTTAAAAAGCAATTCTTGCGCCCAGTTATTCTCCCTCCCCACTCTATGGAGTCAATGTCTAATGAAGTAACGGCACTCTTACCTGCACTGTAAACAGTATGCCTTTCAAGAACCACATGAAATCGGAAGAGGAGTAAATAATACTAAAATTTACTTTTTCCCGCACCCTCCCTACGCAGCATCTGCTTCTAGGGTCAACCAGACATAAAAAGGACCAAAATATGTTTGCCCCCTGGTTGAACTTATCCGATTAAAACTCCCAAAAGCCAATAACAAAAGCGTGCCAGTATAAATCTGGTTCTATAATCGATGGGTATTTCTCGGGTACAGCTTCTACAGCTTTTTCATATCATCCACAGTCTTGGAAGACTTTTCGGTGCCCTCCATGGCCCTGCTCGGATATCCGATCTCGTATTCTGCTGCTACTGGTTTTTGAAAGTGTTGAAAACTGGGTTCGCGGAAGCCCTGGAAGCCGGGGAAGCTGTGGAATCCCGGGTAC